AAACATGTATTATTTGGTATTTAAACCAGCTCTTCTATGACACAAACTCTCATTATAGGACCAGTTGGCCAATGAAAGGCCATGTTTTTTTTCTCTGACAAAAGTAATATTCTAAACTACTCTAAATTGACAAAAGCAAGCTCAGAATTGCAAGTCATGTTCTTATAGAGAAGTCCAGTGAGTTTATTTCCAGCAATGTCAAGATATTTAATGGAAGGCAGTGACAACCATGATAATCATGACAGCTTAAGCTACAATAGGAATGTGCAGTAGCAGAAGCCTAATTCAGAACAATTCAACAAGAAGACAGCAGGAAACAATTTATTGACTTCAACGTATAATGTCATGGAACATCCTATCAATTAGTGGCAACCACAATCATGACTCCAATATGCCCTCCTTTCAAATGTAAGGAAATTAATGAAATTGGCACCATCCCTTCAGTTTTTCCTTAACAAAATCAGAGGTTTGTATGTATTGTATGTGTTATCAATATCAAAGATAAATGAATAAATAAACCATCAAAACTGTAAAAAATGTTTCTTACACATGTACAATTAAAAAATTAAAAGTTCACCTCATAAACAGAGTTGTCTAACTATCCATAGACAAAAAAGACAAGCAAAAGCTTAAAGAGTTAGCTTATAGCAAAATCCATGGCCCCATTTCTCTAAACCACACCTGCTGGTGGCATGTTCCCATCTTCACTCATTTCCCGCTTTGTTTTAAGCATACAATGATCAAGCACAAAACAGCAAACTTTTAAAGAACTCATATTACACCACATATGGTTCCTTGCCCTTTGTTTAGACATTGAATATTCATCCCCAAACTGAAATTCCAAATAATCACAAGAGAATATGAAAAACATAGAGAACTTATCCATATCCAATATGCAAGCCCTTAAGTTAGCAAACAGAGTTAAAGCAAAACCAATTTTAGTGAAACCCCTAAACCCTATACCCATTTCAGAAAACCCACTAAACCAATTTCAGAGAAACCCCCAAACCCTAAACCAATTTCAAACAACCCCGTCAACCAATTTCAAACAAACCCATAAACCCTAAGCCGTAAAAGAATTCCGATGAACAGTACCTGTTTGCTGTGAATGATGGCGTTGTTCTTCGATGCACAGATTTCGCTGGGACAGGAAGACAGAAGCGAGAGTGACGGCTGAGCGACGAGAGATGAGAGAGTTAGAGCTGAGAGACGAGAGAGTGAGAGCAGAGTGACCAGAGAGTGAAGATGAAGAGATTGAGCGACGGAGAGCTGATGGGCGGGAAGTCAATTTCAGAAAATGTGTTAGGAGAGCAATAAGGGTACAATAATTTTCTATTTATAGTTGATAGTTATAAAAAAATTGGGAAGGGATGGCATTTTTAGTTAAAATTATTAAAGGGGTGGCACTGAGGGTCATTTCCCTAAAATATTCGAATATGTTCAAAGCTTATAGCCGAACGGCTATACCTTGAAAATAATATATTTAAATAGTATAGCCGCACGTCTATACCTTTAAAATATTCGAGTATATTCAAAGACTATATCCTATACCGTTAAAATAATATATTTAAATAGTATATTCAAAGACTAATACTATTTAAATATACAATTTTGTCATGTTATTTTAAAATACAACTTTAGCTAATTAGGATGGAGTTATTTCTTCAATTTTTTTTATTTTTTATACCAGTAATATTGGGGAATGAGAGTTTAAATTCTTTCCGATACCTCCAATTCTAATGATTTCTAGCTATTAGTCCATTAGGTAAGAATAAAAAATGGATTTTATTTATAAGAAATAATACGGGTTAAACCCATAAATACAACAACAAAAAATATGGATCCACCAACATTTTGAGGATAAAAGAATCTTGAATTTCATAGTATAAAATTGCTTGTGTAATAATTTACTTTCTAAAATGTATCCATCGTAATTATGAACTAAACCCAATGACAAGCTTTTTCTCATCAAAGAAGAGGGGAAAGAAACAGGCAAAGTGAGCTTGCACGTTTACAAAGTTTGTGAGTTAGAATTGCTCACCTTTTCTTTTTCTGTTTAAGCATTTGTTTTTGTCATAGTTGATGAGAGATCCTATTCTTTGTTTAATCTAAATTGTATACGTTGTTTTCTTTGCTAACTGATGAGAATTTATCACCCACCACCAGGCATCAAACTGATCAGATACTCTCAATTTCTTCTCTTCATTTTGGGTATGACCATTGTCATGTACATCACTGTGCTTGCCATCTTTATCGTTGTATGCCAAAATTCGTGGCCAACAGTATTTGGCTTAATATCTGGTACCGGGTTTTGTATTCTTTTTATCATGCTGTTGGTATTTATCAGTGTAAGAACTATAATGTTGCAATGAATGTGTTCTTCTTGTTTAACAAATGTGTGTTAGACAGGAAAATAAAATATCTAGTTCTATGATCTTTGTCATGAATACTCTTGGTCAATCCAACTCTTGTTAGACAGATAATATAAATGTTTTGAACTGAAGCACACCCCTATGCAGATATATGAATGTGCTAGACTGGAAATGTAAATTTCTTGTTTGCCTCAATTATATGCTGAGATTTTGCTACTGTTTGGATTTTAGGGTTACTATCTTGCATCATCTCGTGAATTAACTCGACTCAATTCAATCACAAAGGCTCCTGTTATCCATCACTTCTCAGAGAGCATATCCGGAGTTATGACGATCACTCTTGCAGAATGCAGAACATGTTCTCCAAGAAAATGTTAAACTGGTTAACGCTAATTTACGTATGGATTTCCACAACAATGGGTCCAATGAGTGGTGTGGTTTCCATATGGAGATGCTTGGGAGTTTAGTTTTCTGCATTTCCACTGTATTCATGTTCTTGTTGCCAAGCAGTATAATAAAGCCAGGTACATCCTTCTTCTTCTTTTGGTGTGACACTTAACAAGATGTCATATCTAGCACTTGATTCATGGCCAATTATGATATGGGATGCCTGAGTATATAATACTTAGCGTATCTGATATAAATTAGCATCTTATCTTGGCACATCTGATATAAATTAGCTGCAGTAGATGAGTGTCTATTTCAGAGATTTGGCTAAATCAGTTATTCCTTCATGGTGCAGAGAATGTTGGTTTAACTCTCTCCTACGGATTGCCCCTGAATGGTGTGCTGTTCTGGGCCATTTATATGAGCTGCTTTGTCGAAAATAAGATGGTATCGGTTGAGAGGATAAAACAATTTACAAACATCCCCATCAGAAGCAGCATGGGAGATAAAAGACCTGTGTTCCTCCTTCAAATTGGCCTTCCCATGGCAATGTCGAGCTCAAAGACTTGCAGGTAGTTTACCTTCAGTTCTGTTTATATCTTCTGAACAAATAAAGTCAAATCTTACATTCCATGAGCTGCTACACTCTAGCCATTTGTCTCCCAAATGGTATATTTGTAGTACATCTTCCATGGCTAGTGTAGTGGATGGACAAATAAAGTGGTCTGCATGCAAGTTGTCATTACTTGGTCATCTCCATTACTGTCTCAAGCTAAATAAGCCCTGTTCCTTTTGATGTCGTCCAAATACACCTTTGGTTCTCAAAGGCATTAGTCCAAGCATTCACGGGGGTGAAAAGATTGGTGTTGTGGGTCGAACAGGGAGCGGGAAATCAACTTTGATCCAAGTGTTCTTTAGGCTGGTGGAACCTTCAGGAGGCAAAATTATCATCGATGGGATTGATATAACCACAATAGGGCTTCACAATATCAGGTCTCGCTTCGGGATCATTCCTCAAGAACCTGTCCTTTTTGAAGGAACTGTGGGAAGCAACATTGATCCAGTAGGAATGTATTCAGATGAAGAAATTTGGAAGGTAAAAAACACAATGCTATCTGATTTCCGGATTACATAAGAGAAAGAGAGTAACCCATAGCCTCAAGAAACAATAAGATTGAATTATACAATTTGTTTGTATATGTTTGTCATCATTCCCTCACTTAGATGAAACAATGCTGTATGTTTATTCACATGAAATCTTAATTTTCTTGTAGAGCCTTGAACGCTGCCAACTTAAAGACGAGGTAGCGGCAAAACCTGATAAACTCAATTCTTTAGGTATGTGACTCTCCCCATTATATACTCTCTCTCTGGAACTGAACTGCTAGCTAGCATAAGGATTAGGTACTGACTGTTTCCATAAAATTAAGTAGCTGATGACGGCGAAAACTGGAGCATGGGGCAAAGACAGCTTCTCTGTTTGGGGCGAGTTATATTGAAGCACAGCCGGCTCTTGTTCATGGACGAGGCCACGGCTTCAGTTGATTCACAGACAGATGCTGTAATACAAAGGATCATCCGAGAGGATTTTGCTGCATGTACAATAATCAGCATTGAAAATTCTCATCTCTCTCTCTCATGCGGAGTTGAAGTTGGGTTTTAGAAATCAATTGCTCATCTCTCTCATGCGCAAGAGAGAAAAAACTCATCAAACTGAAGGGTCTGCTAGAATATTTAAAAATTTCTATCTGAGATGTATAGCCGCGCGGCTTTACCTTTATATTGGAATATTTTAAATGTATAGCCGTTCGGCTGTATGCTGAAAATACTATATTTAAATATTATAGCCGCCCGGCTATACCTTTCGAATATTTTAAACGTATAGTCGACTAGGCTGTAGTCTGAAATTATTATATTTAACGAGTATAGCCGAACGGCTATAAGTTTCGAATATATTCGAATATTTTAACAGTAACGCCGCCCGGCTGTATTCTGAAAATATTATATTTAAAGAGTATAGCCGTGCGGGTAAACTGTGCGAATATATTCGAATATTTTATAAGTATAGCCGCTCGGCGGTACTATGAAAATACTATATTTAAAGGGTATAGCCGGCGGCTATACTCTTTGAATATATTCGAATATTTTAAAAGTATAGCCGGTCGGCTGAACTCCAAAAATATGATATTTAAATGTATAGGCTATACGCTTTAAATATATACGAATTTAAATTGCAGCCAGCTTTCTTCTGTTCCTATTCGAAGTGGGAGTTTCTGAGGAAATTCGAAGTCTTTGGGAAATGGGTTTTTGTGATTGTGAATTTTTGATGTTAATCGAAAACCGATTGATGGGATTTTGAATTTGAAGTGATTGGATTGGTTCTAAGGGCCTCTCATGGGGAGATTTCTTGGCAGGTTTGTGTTGCCTCAGCTGCTGCTAACAGGTATTTAAATGAAAATGCCTTTTGTTCATTTGTTTTTATAACCATGTCATCGTAGTATCTGGATTATTTCAAGTGGATGTGTTGCACTTGGCCCGCTGGTCTAGTTTATTGCAACTCAAAAATTTAGCATGCATTTGGATTGGGGTGCTGATTTCCTTCTTGGGTTTTCTTCAGTCATGTTCATATGGTAATTTAGATAAGCTAAGCCTGTATATTGTCTCTATTTCTTCAATGTCAAACCTTAATTAGGTTTGATTGTGTTCATGCAGAAAATGCAACCTAGGAGACAAAAGAAAATGATTTTGGCGTTTATGACACTGCTTCTTGTTATATTGAATGCTGGAAATTTCTCGTATTTTTATAATTGATTTTTACTACTTCTAATTACACTACCAGTGAACATGTTCGGGTTCGATTACTGTAAACCTAGGATTATACTTCTAGGAAGTTTCCTATAGTTATTGTCAGTTGCATGATAGTTGTAAGATCATGTTTATTTATTCTGGAAAGTATAGTCCTCGGTTATTTAGTGGATATTCCGTTTACTGGGAAAAAGATGTATGAGTATTAGTAATTAATATTATCTGGGAAACAGATGTATGAGTATGAGTATTAGCTATATTCGAGGATTTCAACATGATGGTTTACATCTCCAAGCAAGAAGTCAGAAGTATGGAAAGGTTTGTCTTCTTTATATATACTAACTGTCAGAAGGATGCTTCTGATCATTATCTTACTTGAGCTTGCTTGTCTTGCATTCTATTTGGCTGCTATGAAAACTTTAAAGTCTACAACCTTTTCCATTCTCTCAAATGATAATGAGACTAGATACAAATATCATAGCTCGTCCTTTGGTGGCGGTTCGACTTCAAGGCACTCTTCATCCCAGTAGTAGGGGAACTTTAATTTTGCTGCAGCGTGAGGCACGAACCAGTCCTCATATATGAACCTGAAACGAAGGAAAGAACTTAGAAGCATTATTCAAGCAAAATGAAAAAGTAAAAAATAAAACATAGAAGTGAAATAAAATTGAACCATCCTTAGCATTCCAAAAAAGAAGAATTAAACATTGAAGAAGTATAGATATTACTTTGAAGATGAAACATGAAGCAATTTCAAGAAGTATGGATAATAGTAAACATTGAAGATGAAAGAAGATAGATTGCATACACTTTAACTGGGGGACGAGATATGACAACAAGCACTTGCAGATCCTCATGCTCATTTGTATTCCGGACCTGCAAAGCAATGAGGATTGTAAATAAGTACGACCGGGTAAAAGTTGTGAATTGCCCATCAGAATAATAACTATCTGGTAATAAAAAAACTCGCAAGTTTCTGATTCAATTCAATGAGCCCTATTACAAGAAGCAATGTGATAATAAAAACAATGACCACCTTACCCTCTGCTTAACTGTAAATAAGTCTTTGACCTAAACCCAGGATTTGGTCTCAGACGTATTACAGGGTTAACTATACTATACATCCCTACAAGAATTATGAATAAGCAAAAAAGTTACATAAACTGAATCATCACGAACGCTGATGAAATTTTCTTGGGCATAAAACACACTAAGTGCAGAATACTTTGTTTTACCTGGTGAGCATCGTTAACAGGTATGTGAAATGTGCTATTTGCAAAGATAGAGAATTCTTGTGGTTTTCCAGGGGACTTCTCGTGTGAGTTTGGTGCAAGGTAGAGAGTTCCACTCCCCTTTAGGACAACAAAAACTTCTTCACAAGAATGCCTGTGTATTGGTGTGCCTGATCCTGGAGAAAATGTTTGCAGCCAAACCTCAACCTGTGAACCCAATAATTGCATCAAACATGATGTCCCCCAAAATATTTCTGGAATCTATAACTCGTTATTGCAAAGTAAGATTTGTAATGTCCAAGGCACGGTGAGGACAAAAAGCTCTACAAACATAGTCAAATAAAAAAGATAGCCCATTTACTTCTCAAAGTATCAACACCATGAGTAATATCAGACAACTTTCAGTGAAGTTTGTTTTAAGGTCAAGGTTATCATGCAAAAGGTATTGTCTTTCAAGCCCCCAAGATCAAAAGAACAGTGAATTCTCTAATGAATGGTGACTGCATACCTCTTTCAACCCATGCAAGAGTGAACCAGCAACAGTTGTGTGTGCCAAACCTCCCCTTCCATAGTTACTCTGTGGAAGGGCACTGATATTTCTTACTTCAGGTAACCCTGAATCCAACATATACAATAGCAAGAGAACAGTTAATTAGCTTAATTTATATCATCAATAAGCAAGTTCACAATCTGAAGGGGGCGAATTCCATGGAACTTGGACCAAACAATCAAAACCTCCTCCGAGCCACCGGGGAAATTTCACAATGGGGGCAAGCTCAAATTCCCACCAAATAACCAAAATAAGAAGTTCAAGAAGAAACTAAACAAAACCAAACACCATCAGAGAATTATAAATTAAACGCAATAAGAAAAAAAACTATCAACAATCGTATCGAGCCACCAAAATAGACATAAATTAAAAAAACCAGTAGGATTTCAGTCATAAAACACTGTAAATCAAGAAATGCCCGCTTGAAGCACAAATTATGTAAAGCATACCGAACCAGCTGTGATACTTGTCATTTCTGGGCATAGCCACAACCTGAATCCATAAAAGATTAAGCAAGAGCTTACCTTTGACTGAGCACTTGGAAGCTTCAGATATCGCACAGAAGAATAGAAAGCTCAAGAAGAAGATCGTAAGAGAAGGCCCTGCCATTTTCTTGTTAGTTCCACAACTTCTACATTTCGTGCGTAAGTAATTTTATTTTCTAAAGTTCTGTTTTTATTTGTGTTGCGTAAGTTTAATAGTGCTATGGGCCCAAAAGCACTTCCAGGCCCATGAGAGCAAGTGTTGGATCATATGGTCATGTGGGATAAGGCACACAAGGCCAGTTCCCTCTTTATTCACTCTGCAACAGCTCTTTGCAGCCTTCCAAAAGGTTTAGGCTTTAGCAGGAGGACGAGATGAGTATTTGCTTAACTGCTTGAGTGAGCTGAAGCCACTGTTGAGTCAATCTCAGCTACACTCTGGATAAGCTGCTAGCACAATAGTCAACCTGAGCCAACTCCTCGGACAGGTCAGCTTCTTCTTCTTCCTTCTCTAGAACTTCGTACAAGTTAAGACCTTTTCACTGAAGAACATGTAGATAGATAAGAAGATGATAAATTTATGGATTTTTGATAACTGGGCTTCTAAATCTTCAGTCTTTGGTGGTTTTTTTTTTTCCTTCAGATTTCCAGAGTTTGATGTCTTCGTATTTTTTTTTTTACGTTTCTTTGTATTTCCCCTCTTCTGGGTTTTCTCAGTTAACCAACCAAGATAACCAAAATGGTTTCTCAAATTTAACAAAGACGTAAATAGAACACAATTTTTCTTTGGTACCTAAGATATTAGGCTAGATTTTGTAGAAATTTGTCTTCTAATGTAATTAAGCCTCATTTTGTTTGATGAAAAAGAATGCCTTGAAGTTGGAAAAAGCTTTTCTGAGTTGGTGAAGTTGATTATAGAATATGCCTTCGTATTTTATTTTCCAAGTTTATTTTCATTATAACAATTGAGTCGGTTATTCAACAAGTATGAAAATAACAAAGATTCTGCAGATGGGGGTGAAATTTGAGTTATTTTCTTGCCTATGTTAAATCACTGTTATTTTGCTTTGCATGAGCGAAATATCAGATTTTTTTTTTTTTTTGGGTGCATTAGCATTGTGTATTTTAATTATTATTATTTTTCTTTCTCTTGTTAGGCTCATTGATAGTTTTAAATCTGGAACTATGAAGATCAGAAGCTATGCTGGTATTACCAAACCCAGCTTTTTGCTTGTGCATCCAGAGTTACCAGCACTTACATCTCGTAATCCCCAATTTACTTCTTTATTCACGCTCCGAATCCCTTGTAACCGTGAGAAGTTGACTGGGATGATTACAAGGTCTCAGTATTCTGTTGCTGATAGAAGGTCGGCAACTAGATATGGGGATTCATCTGTGTCAAATAAAAACACCAATCGTCTGGGTCCGAGACAAGGAGGTTCTTCATCATTATATAGTCGTCCTAGTCTATTAGATATGAAGAATGATAGGATGGAAAATCGTGCGCGAGTTTATGAGTTCTTGCGAGGGATTGGTATTGTCCCTGATGAGCTTGATGGGTTGGAGCTTCCTGTTACAGTTGAAGTTATGAGGGAACGTGTGGATTTTCTTCACAAGCTGGGGCTTACAATTGAAGACCTTAACAACTATCCACTTGTTCTAGGCTGCAGTGTGAAGAAAAACATGATTCCTGTACTTGATTATCTTGGAAAATTGGGTGTTAGGAAATCCACTTTCACAGAGTTCTTGAGAAGATATCCACAAGTCCTGCATGCTAGTGTTGTTATTGACCTTTCACCAGTGGTCAAGTATCTTCAAGGAATGGATATCAAACCCGATGATATTCCCCAGGTTCTTGAAAGATATCCAGAAGTCTTGGGATTCAAGCTTGAGGGGACCATGAGCACTTCAGTGGCTTATTTAGTCGGAATTGGGGTCGCAAGAAGAGAGATTGGAGGGGTGTTAACTAGATACCCCGAGATTTTAGGGATGCGTGTAGGTAGGGTGATCAAGCCTTTTGTTGAGTATCTTGAAGATTTGGGTATTCCAAGATTAGGCGTAGCTAGACTGATAGAGAAGCGGCCTCACATCCTTGGATTTGGATTGGAGGAGAGGGTGAAACCAAATGTTCAATCTCTTTTGGAGTTTTGTGTTCGAAAAGAATCACTTGCTTCTGTAGTGGCACAATATCCTGAGATAATAGGAATTGATCTAAAGCCAAAGCTTCTCAGTCAACAAAGTTCACTGAAGTCAGTAATTGATTTGAGTCCTGAGGAGTTTGGCAGAGTTGTTGAGAAGATGCCTCAGGTTGTTAGCCTCAGTGATAGACCTATGATGAAGCATGTAGATTTCCTTAAGAATTGTGGATTCTCCTTGGAACAAGTGAGGAAGATGGTCGCAGGGTGCCCTCAATTGCTTGCCTTGAATCTTGACATCATGAAACTTAGCTTCGATTTCTTTCAAACAGAGATGCAAAGGCCTTTGGATGACTTGGTTGATTTCCCGGCGTTCTTTACTTACGGTCTGGAATCTACTATAAAACCAAGACATAAGATGGTTTCAAAGAAGGGGTTGAAATGCTCCCTTGGATGGCTTCTTAATTGCTCTGATGAAAAGTTTGCACAACGGATGGACTATGACACTATCGAAATGGAGGAGATGGAGTTGTTGCCATCATTTGATATGAATACACTCACAGAACCCAGGAGCGACGATTCAGGTTCAGACTATGATGACAGTGATGATGATTATGTATAGAATGATCACCCAATTTCAGTGAATCACCTTCAAAAGTTTGGCTTTTCAATCTGGGGTTTCCTGTAAATTTTATGGATGTTATATTTACGAAAGTAAATTTCTTTATTTGAAGCATTTTTACACACTTCCACATTTTGGCTAAACACACCAATTTCAATACTTGTTTCTGAGAACAGATGGTAATAACTACGACAAGATTGTAATTAGACACCCATGAGGAAGCGAGTAAATATTCTAATTTTCTGGGTTCCAGAACCACAATTTCATGCAGCTTCCATTCTCTGGTGCCAACCGCATAGCAAACAAAATAGAAAGCATAAAGGAGATGTATGAATAGCAGTATAGATGGCATTGTCACGTGACAGAAAAAAGGGGAAAAGATTCAGGATTTCTATGTACAAATTTATCATTGCATTGCTCTGTTCGACTATATTTTCACTTGTTAATATCCATCCTATATAAACAAGAGCGCCTGAACACAAATGCATTCGTTCATCACGACATGTTCCAAAAATTGATGATGGCTTTGGCTCCTGCAGGCTGCAGGGGAGGCAAGCACCATTTTGTCCTGTAAATGTACAAGCTCTCCTCGTACTTTGTGGCCATCAGCATTGAGAAATTTCATACAATATCATGTGCCTATCATTTCATTTGAAGAAATGAAGCGATTTGGATTCCTAGCTTTTTCTTTGTAGCCAACCAAGCTGTAGAAACAGAATATATGCTTCTATGTTAGAAGAAAAAATGTCACAATTATTAAAGGGATTGCCTAATTCATATATCTGATTACATACCTTCCATGCATACATGGCGAAGAAGGCTACGGTGTCGGCGGACCAAACAACAGCAAAGGACTTCCAAAAGAATGGGATTGTCACATTAAGTAAAGGGACGAGAAGAAAGAGATAGTTTAGAGCTTCTTTCTCATTTTTTGAGCAGTCTCGTGCACGCAGTGAAGGAATCGCTGCAAAAATTAGAAAGTTGGATTCTTTGTTAGAATCCAATTCTGCAGTACGTAAAATAATCATCATGTACACATTGCTCTGTGGTCATTTGTAAACCATGAAAATGAAACAGCTGCCTATTTCACTTCAATGTGAAAAGTTTCCATATATGGTTCTTATATTGACAGATAAGTTATGGTATATCTCCAAAATACCAAAAGTATAGGAGAAAAATTTGCAGTTAAGTTTAGTGGGGAATAACTTACTAAACATCCAAATGGACCACATGCCCATCAATCTCCATATGTCTGGTTCATTTGATGGGAATATGAGATTAAAAGACAGAACTCCACCAAGCAGCATGGAGGCATAGGCTTGAACCTCAAAAACAGTGTACAGAGTACTGCCAGGCACAGCAGGGTTTTTGGAAGCTGTGGAAGCCCTTGGTGCAAAGGTTGCAGCAGTCTTCTGAACAACCTGTTGGGCAAAATGGAAGCATAACCTTGAGAGAAAATTGATAACACAATAACTTTCAATCTGAAAACCAGTCTATCATTACATAAGGGATATGCAAAACAAAAAGGAACCCAGGTAAGACTCTAAAACTGTAAGTAAAATATATAAACTAGCTGGGACCTATTTCTATCATGTTCTAGCTAGTACTGAGGCTAAAAAATTATGCCTTTCCAAATCTGCTTCTTTGCAACATAACCAATCTGTTCTTACTACCCAATTTCACAATTTTACAATCCACAAGAACATCTACAAATCCACCTAAAATTGTACAAAAATGCAGTCACACACATAGAAGAAGAAAAAAGGGCAGTTTCTTGGAGCTGGCATTCATGAAATAATTCTAATAAATTGTAATTCAGGGTACCCCAGTAGAATCAAAAGAAAAAAAACCAACCTTTTTGAGGTCCTTGTCAAGTGGAGAAGCAGGGGAGGCCTTGCCTGCTTCCTTTGGATCAGCTTCTAGCTCTTGTTTTGGCTCCTCCACTGCCTGTGCCTGTGTATCTAACTCATTGGTATTGGCATTGGCATATAGTTTGAAGAAGACCCTGCTGGGAAATGGAGATATGTTTCTCGGGTTTGAAACAGTAAAAGGAAATCTTGAAATTTGGTGATTGCAGAGAGAAGTTGAACTTAAGGTGTTCATGTTTAAACACTCCACTGATAAGATCACTGCAAACTCAAACAAGAAGGAGATGCAAAGAAAACAGAGAGAGATAAGAAACTTAAGGCAGAGAACAGAGCTCATAGACAGAGATTTGGGCTCACTTTATAACACCAAGAACAGCCCAAAATATTGACTGTGGGCCCAATATCTGGCCCAATTTTAAAGACCGTACATTGGGCCCACCAGTTGAAGCCCAAAAAGAAACGAACACTTGTAGGACGCCACTTATTTCCCCGCGAAACCAATCACCGTAGTCCGTCAGATTGAGTCTCGAGTCTCGAGGCTAAAACCGGAAAAGTGAAAAAATTTCCCGATGTTCTAATTTCCTATTGGTCGGGAGATTACTTATTACTGGCTACAACATAATAAAATTTTATTATTTCTTCTGTTTATTTAATTTAATTTTTGTAGTTTATTTCTCAAAGCTTCTTTCTTGCCAGTTTGCCAATCTCATTTACAAGACAACAGTTTGAAATCCACATTTTTGCTGTAAAATTTGGGTGACTTTTAGCTCGGACTTGGGACTGGTAGCTACCGTAACTTGAGATCAACATCTGTCGTTTTAATCTTTACTTTGGACGATGGTTTGAGTTGCCGCGAATTTAGAGGACCCAACGTACCGATATTCTGTTTATTTCGTTATCGTGCGCGAAACAGAGAAGAAGCTGTAGCCAGCTTTCTTCTGTTTCAATTCGAATTGGGAGTTTCTGAGGAAATTCGAAGTCTTTGGGAAATGGGTTTTCGTGATTTTGATTTAATCGAAAATCCATTGATGGGATTTTGAATTCGAAGTGATTGGATTGGTGCTAAGGGCCTCTCATGGGGAGATTTCTTGGCGGGTTTGTGTTGCCTCTGCTGCTGCTAACAGGTATTTAAATGAAAATGCCTTTGGTTTGTTTGCTTTAATAGCCGTAAGATTATTTCAAGTGGATGAACTGGATATTACTCTTGGTATTATATGTGTTGCACTTGACCAGCTGTTCTAGTAATCTGCAACTCAAAAGTTAGCATGCATTTTGGATTGGGGTGCTGATTTCTTTGTTGTTGGGTTTTCTTTAGCAATTTTAATGAGCTCATTTCACTTCTTTTTATGGTAATTTAGATGAGCTAAGCTTTTATTATTGTCTCTATCGCATATATAGTCTCATACTGTCTTCATCATCATCAACCATAATGAGTATTCTATTTTATATGATTGTGGAGAAATTCTGGGCGCAAAAAACTTACTTATAGCTACTGACAATCCATGCGTGCTTAATAACTGAGGTATGATTAAGTTTTGCATGTCTCCATTTTTCTTGCAGCTGCTTTTATCAATTGGAGCTTGCTCTCTCTTGTTGATTTGGTAGCATTTCTTCTTATTCTATTTAATGCACCAAAAATAGGTAAGTTGCTCTCCGTAAATTTTTCAGCTTGTCTTCCACATTACGAATGCTTTTATCTGAGTACACTACCCAGTGAAAATGCGCTTGTTGGATGCTCTTCATGTGAATTTCGTTCTCCCTTTTCCTCTGTTACTGTATTGTTTACATTTTCGTCTGACCAGGAAATCAATATACTAGGAAAAGTATGTGCTTATGGATTACCACTGTCTTGCTAATGAGTTGGCATAAAACTTTTCATATGGAAGGGGTTTTCTTGATATGACAATTCTTAGCTACAACAGACTAGTTAAATTCTTTGTTTTAGCTTGAGAACAATCTGAGTTGTAAAGTGATCTCAATCAGTCAATTAAATTTATCCTGCATATTGACTGTTACTTGAGGTGCATTGACTCACCAGTCCATAAATTGAATCTCGTGCCTCAGTTATGACATAAATGTGATAGCATGATTCTGCATTAGTTTTTCTTTTGTTTTCATTGTCAAAAAGTGTGTCTATGGATGAGGATCAAAGAAACAGATTATGCAGTTATAGATTCCATAAAAATATATTGAGTAGAAATTTTAACTACTGTTAAAATATATAGTTGACATGAATCCTTTTGCAATGTGCTGTAGGAATTTGATTAAGTGCATCTATGAGTGCTCAACTTTGGTTTTCTTAAGCAGCTATAACCACATGGATACCAAATTTAGGCATAAATGCTGTGAACTTATTTTATACAATAAGGAAAATTAAGTTTTGGAGATCTACTTGAGTTTTATTTAGTATGTCATTCAATGTCAAACCTTAGGTTTGATTGGATTCATGCAGAAAATGCACTTTGAACAATTTTGGTTTACAATGTAACTTAGGAGACAATTACAATGTAACTTAGGCGACAAAAGAAATGATTTTGGTGTTTTTGATACTGCTTCTTATTATATTAAATGCTGGAAATTTCTCGTATTTATATAATTGATTTTTACTACTTCTAACAGTGTTTTCCTTGTTGTAGGATTTCATTTTGGAAGGAGGCTTTTATTATTGTGGCTCATTGTCATATTTTCTTTATTTGTTATTTTTTCTCAAGTGATATATCTTGTTATATGGGCTATTGAGGGAAATAAATGGATTGGAGCAGGTGCTTGGTGGGCAAATCTTATTGGATTCATGATGTACGAATTGTCTTTTGTTTCTATTTTAATCTCATATCCCTTTATTTCCTATGCATACATAATATACTTTGTTTCTTGTGTATGGTCTTGCAGATTGCAGTCATGGAAATCTCCCTCTGTGCTATATTTTTTACTCTTACAACTATCAGTAGTAGCTGTTGCTTTAGTTGATTTGTATGGAAACAGATTTGGTCTTGTTTCATCGTGTGATTCATGTTGGGGTCGATTTTCATCAGCTGTTGAACGCTTAATTTGTAAGTAATTAACCGCTTGAATTTATTTATTCTTCCTTGGGTTTTTCTTTGATTTTTCCTGTTGAACCATATTTTATACATAAAGAAATTTAATAGACAAAGCTTGAATAAGGTTCTTATTTTTATTCTCAAAAGAAATGAAAAAGAAAAGAATTAAGGTTCTTGTTGTGCATTAGATTTTCTTCTTGGGCCAATATTCATGCAAACTGTTAAAGATGCTTTGAGTAATTGATTTATTCATCTTATTAACCTTATATTAAAATGCAAGATGCATGCCCATGTACTCCATAATTGATCTTGCAAATGTAACAACTGATTTGGAATTATTTATCTGTTACATCTGGAAGGTTCTCATCTTAGGGTTGCTTCCTGCTTGCTGTTGCCTGCCATTCAGCTGGTTGTTGGAATTAGCCATCCCTCATGGGTTTCTCTACCATTTTTTATTGGGAGCTGCAGTGGTCTTGTAGATTGGTCTTTGACAAGCAATTTTTTAGGACTTTTCAGGTGATTTCCTTGTAAACCTTCATTTGTTACTGGCTAACATTGTTGCCTCTCTCTCTCTCTTTCTGCTTTAATTAGTTTCTCTTGTTGCTAATGGTTGCATCTATGGGTTTGAAGGTGGTGGAAGCCTTTTCACTTGTATGCAGGCTTCAACATTGTCTTGCTTTATGTGTATCAGCTACCTGTGGAGTTTCCAGATATGTTACAATGGATAGCTGATTTCATTGGTCTGTTCAAGATAACTTTACATTCGGATTGGACTGAAGTTTGTTCGAGCTTATCTCTTTTACTTTTCTACATCATGGTACGTCTATCTTTTATGACATCTACAAATCCAACACAGTTTATGTAGCAGGATACTTGAAAACCAGTGACTTCAGCTTCTCTACAGTGTAGGTTCTGCAAGTTGATCATGTAATAATTCATCCCTGGATGATATGGTTATATCATTCAATTTAATCTGACTATAGTTCAGAATTAAGTTAACAACCATGCAGATTTGGATTATGTGCAACAAAGAATCCTATATTACTTATCAAATGTGTGTGTCATCCTTGCTACTTTGCTACATAAGTGTTTCAATTCTTAAAATCCTTGCTGCATTGCTTACCTTGTTGTGGTTTTTCTTTTGCCTCTTCTTCCTTGTAATGCAGCTATCCTGTGTTAAATGTGATCTAGAGGAAATGGATTTTATTTTATCCATGAAAGAAAATAACTTGACGGAGCAACTTCTTCCCTCGAAGCATTCATTTTTTATTCGTGAATCTAGGTAATATTCTTGGATGTTGGAACATCTTTTCATCCGGTTCACATGATGCCATCTCCTTTGATTATTGTCTTCAATGCATATAAGTTAACTATTCAAATTTGTTGGAAGTTCTAACACATATGGGAGGAGACCTTCTGTCTTCCTACCCTTAATCCATATCTTTGATTTTAATGAAACAAAGCTGATATGATGTGGGAACCCTTACAATTGTCAGTGTGTTTGTGTGCAGCTTAAGTAATTGTTTGTTCTTCGCAGATCTGGTGTAAGGCATACCAATGTTTTGTTGACAGGAGCAGTTTTCCGGACCTTTAGTATCAACTTCTTCACATATGGATTCCCGGTATATATTCCTAGAGTCTCCCTTCCTCTTGACTGAACAGCATCATGATGTTTATTGAGGCTGAATTGACCCATGCATGTGATCTTTTTGAAGCTGAAGATGAGGCAGTAGTGAATTCAGTGCTTGAACTTAATGCATGAGGCATTAGGCATCTATTTAGTTCGAACCATCATCTAGGGATCTTACTTGCCATAGTGTTTTTCAGTGCTTGAACTTAATTTTTATTTTTATGTTTTTCCAATCCAGTGAAGTTTTTATCTTTTCGGTTTCAGAAAAAGAAAAAAAAAAAATTATTGTAGCAAAATGCATGCTTCTTTTCTCCTCAAATGTATTACTTGCAAACTTTACACAATTTATTCTTTTAAATTAAGATCAACTGGAAATTTTATAATAGTTTGAGGTAGATAAAGTGGGCAGGTTGGAAATTAGGTGCCCTACTCCATCCCTGTATGATTGTCACATGTGGAAAGAAGTAGTATGAAAGTATCTGCTGAATTTTAACTTATGAGTTCCCAATTTTTTTCATTTACCTGCGTCTAGCAAAAATTGATGTTTTAAGATCTTTCTTTTTAGTCTTGTTATATTAATTTTTTAGTGGTGAATTTGACAGGTGTCCTTGTTTGCTCTTTCTTTTTGGAGTTTTCATTTTGCAAGTGTTTGTGCATTCGGGCTACTTGCATATGTTGGCTACATCATATATGCCTTCCCTTCCTTATTCCGTTTGCATCGACTGAATGGGCTGCTTCTTGTCTTCATTCTCTTGTGGGCTGTTAGCACATATATTTTCAATGTAGCATTTGCGTTCCTGAATTGGAAAATTGGGAAGGTAGTACTCTCTTTCTGGTGATGTTTCATGTCTGAATTTAACAGAAAATGATTGGAAGTTAACTGTTTGATTACATGTACAGAACACAGACATATGGGAGATGGTTGGGTTGTGGCATTATCCCATACCTGGATTCTTTCTGCTTGCACAATTCTGTCTTGGAATATTGGTTGCCTTGGGTAATCTTGTGAACAACTCAGTTTTCCTTTGCTTGTCTGATGAGGATGGGCGATTTTTAAATGACAACAGCACCGTAGAAGGTATTGAAATACATTTCTTTGTGTGTGTGTGTGGTGGTGTAAAGTTTAATGGCAATATTGTATGAAAATAGGTCATCATCTTTGTGCTATATATCTCTCCGAGAGTATATCTCTGTTAACCATTGGGCTTTCCCTTGATTTTCAGTAATGCATATGCTTAGGTCATGTCTTATTGTATCTACCTTCCATGTATTTAATTCTGTTTATATCTTTAATCATAGGTGAGGGAGAGACCAAAGTATTGATTGTGGCCACAATTGCTTGGGGACTGCGCAAAAGCTCTCGAGCTATCATGCTGGCACTTATATTTCTCATTGCCATGAAACCTGGTTTCATCCATGCTGTGTATGGTATGTGTCAAACCTAATTTAGTTATTAATTCATGAAGTTGACTGTTATGATGATGCCTTTTTTACAATCTTGTCTTTATATATCTTGTAATGCATGAAACTAATGCTTAAATTACAACACCGGACTTTAACTAATTAATTTTATGTTTTGACCTGTGATTCAGTGATATTCTTTTTGATATATCTTTTGAGCCACAACATTAGCAGAAAGATACGCCAGGCTTTGATTCTCCTATGTGAGGTTCACTTTGCACTATTGTATATCATTCAGATTAATCCGATCTCTGATGCTTTGGAGCGAAAAGGCTCTTTGAGTGCAGAAGTTTTATCACAGTTAGGTATGCAACTGTTTTTTCTTGGTTCATTTATGTTTTATGATTTGACATGTGGACCTGGTTATGGTTTATTTTCTTATGAGGTTGATTATGCTTAATGTCAGAAACTGCTGCCAAAAGAAAAAAGCAATGTGTACTGATATTATCTTATCTGGAAATGATGCAGGTCTCCTTCAACATGAAAGCTCGTGGGATTTTTTGAAAATAGCTTTGCTTGCTTGCTTCTGTGCAATTCATAACCATGGTTTTGAAATGCTATTTTCGTTCTCAGCAATTGTGCAGCATACCCCTAGCCGTCCAGTTGGATTTAGCATTCTGAAAGCTGGCCTGAACAAATCAGTTTTGTTGTCAGTGTATGCCTCCTCAGCCATTAAGTACAGCCATGATAATCCTTCTTATGGTATAATTTTATCTTTGTTATATTTATTTATTTTTTCTTGAATGTGGCCAATCTGGTCTCTGACAATCGAAGACTAAATATGAGACTAAATTTGAGATTTGGTCTTAACCTTCTCAATTAAATCCAAGTGATAATCTACTGAATGCTTAGTTTTAGTGATTTCAATAATGTGAAATGAATTACCATAAGAAATATAATGTTAAATGAATAATTCAATAATTCGAGTTGGTCTTATATGAAAGTGCAGTTGAAGCTGGGTTTTAGAAATCAATTGCTACCCATTGTTCTTAGGCAACTAGGGAAACTACTGCCAGTCCTTGTGCTTTTCTGCTACTGCTGCGATCCTTCCTTTAACTACTATTGACATTTATATTTGCTGATTTGTTCTCTTTCCAGAGAAAAGAATAGCATTATTCCTCAGTGCAATTGGGCAGAGGTTTTTATCTGTGTACCGATCATGTGGAACCTACATTGCCTTCCTTACTATTCTCCTTACTGTATACCTGGTGAGACCCAATTATGTATCATTTGGGTACATATTCCTTCTCCTTGCTTGGATAATTGGAAGACAGCTTGTTGAGAGAACGAAAAAGCGCCTTTGGTTCCCGTTGAAAGCATACGCAATTGTGGTGTTTATCTTTATCTATAGCTTGAGCAGTTTCCGCTGCATTGAGGTTTGGTTGTCCAGGTTAATAGACCTTTATTTCTATCTAGGCTATGACTCAGAAGCTTCATCTTTGGAAAATGTTTGGGAATCCCTAGCAGTCTTGATTGTGATGCAACTTTATAGCTATGAGAGGAGACAGAGCAGGTATAACAAGCCAGATGATGCTGATGTGTTAGAATTTGGAGTGCTTGGGTTTATAAAGCGGTTTGTTGTTTGGCACAGCAACAAGATCTTGTTTATTGCAGTATTCTATGCATCTTTATCTCCAATTAGTGCATTTGGATTTTTGTATCTACTTGGCCTTGTCATCTGTTCAACATTACCTAAAGCTTCACGGATCCCGTCTAAATTATTCTTGGTTTACACAGGATTTCTAGTAACAGCTGAGTATCTTTTTCAGATGTGGGGTAGACAGGCTGCAATGTTTCCTGGACAAAAGCACTCTAATATTTCCCTTCTTTTGGGTTTCCGTGTATTTAAACCTGGATTTTGGGGTCTAGAATTCGGCTTGAGAGGAAAAGTGCTGGTGATTGCTGCGTGTACCCTTCAATATAATGTTTTCCGCTGGTTGGAGAAGATGCCAAGTACTATCCTAAACAAAGGAAAGTGGGAAGAGCCTTGTCCATTGTTTGTCTCAGCAGAAGATGCCAAGATTAATTCTTCCATCCCTAGTGAGGAAAACAAGCCATCAACAGATTCTGAAGCACTTTCTGTGAAACGAGAAGGGGCTAGGAGCCATTCATGGCCATTCTTCTCCCCAGGTTTATCGGAATCCCTTAATCCTGTGTCCCCTAGAGCAGGAGGTTCTGAGGGTAGTAGCAGTAACAAGTACTCATTTGGGTACATTTGGGGCAGCACCAAGGAGAGTCATAAGTGGAACAAGAAACGGATTCTTGCCTTGAGAAAGGAGAGATTTGAAACACAGAAGCTTATCTCAAAAATCTATTTGAAATTCTGGATGGAAAATATGTTCAACCTCTTTGGTCTTGAGATAAACATGATTGCATTGCTTCTTGCAAGCTTTGCTTTGTTGAATGCCATTTCTTTGGTATACATTGCGTTACTTGCTACTTGTATTATTTTGAATCGGCATATTATACGTAAGATATGGCCCATACTTGTTTTCCTGTTTGCATCCATTCTCATCCTCGAGTACTTTGCCATCTGGAAGAGTACGTGGCCTTCAAATCATCCTGATGAGACTAATGCACGTTGCCATGATTGCTGGAAAATCTCAACTATGTATTTCAGTTACTGCAAGTACTGTTGGTTAGGTATTACTCTCTTAGCCATCCGAGATTTATGTAGAGGCCCGCACACAAATACACACAAATATGCACATGCATGTGCAAACAGATACTACTTTTAGTTTTATTTTATTTTTTCCAACATTAGCCTTTAAGAGGGCTTTGTGGTTTCTGAGATACTCAAATTATTTAGTTTCTTTTTTGAATTGGAAAATGTTGCAGAAAATTGATATTGGATTATTGGTCCATTGCTTGGACAAGTTCTAAGACAATTTATTTTGATCTGTGACCTTATATATCCTGTTTGCTTTTATGTTTCAGTTCTTATGTAGATCAATGCATTACTTTAAGTTATTAACAATGTATACCATTTATGCCATAGGACTTATTGTTGATGATCCGCGAATGCTTATCAGCTATTTTGCTGTCTTCATGTTTGCTTGTTTCAAACTTCGTGCTGACCATTTGTCCGGCTTCTCGGTGTCATCAACTTACCGTCAAATGGTATCTCAACGTAAAAATATATTTGTGTGGAGAGACCTCTCTTTTGAAACCAAAAGCATGTGGACCTTCTTTGACTACCTGAGGCTTTACTGCTACTGCCACCTATTGGATCTTGTGCTAGCGTTGGTTTTGATTACTGGGACCATTGAGTATGACATTCTGCACCTTGGTTATCTTGCTTTTGCGCTGGTTTTCTTTCGGGTGAGACTTGAAATCCTAAAGAAGCGGAACAAGATATTCAAGTTCTTGCGCATATACAATTTTGCTCTTATTGTTCTTTCTCTTGCATATCAATCTCCTTTTGTGGGGGAGTTTTGTGCTGGAAAGTGTGAGACAGTAGATTACATATTTGAGATGATTGGATTTTATAAGTATGACTATGGGTTTCGGATTACTGCAAGATCAGCTCTCGTTGAAATTGTCATATTTATGGTGGTATCACTTCAGTCATATATGTTTTCCTCCCAAGAATTTGATAATGTTTCTCGATATCTTGAAGCTGAGCAAATTGGTGCCATTGTGCGTGAGCAAGAAAAGAAAGCTGCCTGGAAAACTGCACAGTTAAAACACATTCGTGAATCCGAGGAGAAGAAACACCAGCGCAACCTGCAAGTGGAAAAAATGAAATCAGAGATGCTCAACCTGCAAATCCAGCTTCACAGCATGAACTCAGTTACTAATTGTGGTGACTCTCCTCCTGTCAGTGAAGGCCTAAGAAGGAGGAGGAGTACTTCTCTTAACTCAAATAACGATGCTGGGACCCCTGATAAAGAAGGATTACCCATGAAAAAGGAGCAGATACTTAAAGAGGATTCGTTGTACCCTTATGAATTGCATCGATCTCCTGCAACAGTGAACTTGGAAAACCCAACAGTGGTGGAGTCTATGAAGGATTCGATGGAATCTTTTCACTGTGAGATCACTGAAGTCGAAGAAGATGTTACTGATGGTGTATTATTTTATTCTTCAGAAAAGAAGGACAAAGTTAAAGGGCAAGCAAAGGAAAGCCCACTCATCTCTGCAGTTCATCTGATAGGTGATGGCGTTTCCCAGGTACAGTCTATTGGAAATCAGGCAGTTAACAACCTAGTAAGCTTTTTGAACATTGAACAAGAGTCTGATATCAGTGAGCACTCTTCTGTTGAGGATGGGGTATATGATGAGATGGAGAGCCAAAACACTAAGTATATGTGTTTTAACCGTTCATCTTCCCTGCAGTCCGATACGAGTTCTGATCCCACAAGTCTGCAGTTAGGAAGGATCTTCCGTCACATATGGTCCCAAATGCGGTCCAATAATGATATTGTGTGTTATTGTTGCTTTGTCATTGTCTTCTTGTGGAACTTCAGTTTGCTTTCTATGGTGTATCTGGCAGCCTTATTCTTGTACGCCCTATGTGTAAATTCTGGTCCAAGTTACATCTTCTGGGTTATTATGCTGATTTACACAGAAGTCTATATTTTGCTTCAGTATTTGTACCAGATTATCATCCAACACTGGGGTTTGAGTGTTGCTTCAGACCTACTTCGTGAGTGGGGATTTCCTGCACATAAAATCACTTCTTCTTTTGTTGTCAGTTCATTGCCTCTCTTTCTTGTCTACTTATTTACCCTCATACAGAGCTCTATAACTGCAAAAGATGGTGAGTGGATGTCATCTACGGACTTCGACTTCTATAGGAGGAGTGCTTTCCATGGAAAAGAGGTTCCTGTAAGTTATAGCTGGAGTGAGAAAACAAAGGAGCTGCTGCACATAATGGGAAATGCAATAAAATTGATAATCAGAAGCTTCTTTAGGTACTGGGAATCACTGACACAGGGAGCAGACTCCCCTCCTTACTTTATTCAGGTGTCTATGGATGTCCGCTCATGGCCAGACGATGGAATTCAACCAGAAAGGATTGAGTCTGGAGTAAATCAATTGCTCAGAATCATCCATGATGAAAGGTGCAAGCAGAAAACCCCTACTCCATGCCCTTTTGCTAGTAGGGTGCATGTTCAAAGCATTGAAAGGAGTCAAGAAAATGAAAATGTAGCGTTGGTTGTTTTCGAGGTGGTATATGCCTCCCCCGTAACAGAGTGTGCTTCAGTCGAATGGTACAATTCACTTACTCCAGCAGCTGATGTGGCAAAGGAAATTCTAAAAGCACAGCATGCTGGGTTTGTTGAAGAAATAGGATTCCCATACCCTATACTCTCTGTAATTGGGGGAGGCAAAAGGGACGTTGATCTATATGCCTATGTGTTTGGTGCTGATCTGACTGTTTTCTTTTTAGTCGCGATATTCTACCAATCTGTCATAAAAAATAAAAGTGAATTTCTGGACGTGTATCAGCTTGATGATCAGTTTCCTAAGGAGTTTGTGTTCATCTTAATGGTCAGTTAATTTTTCATCATTTTCTGTCGTGCTTTAAGTAGTGCAAAATCAAGTTTACTTTATGGTCTATTGCAAAAAACATGGAGTTGCAAATTTGAAGCTAGATAAATCATCTTTTCTTCTTGGTTGAAATGTGTAATGTTCTCTAAAAGGATAAATGATTTTCCTCGCAGATCATCTTTTTCTTGATTGTCCTTGATCGCATAATCTACCTCTGCTCATTTGCCACTGGAAAAGTAATTTTCTACCTTTTCAACCTCATCCTCTTCACATATTCAGTTACAGAGTATGCTTGGCACATGGAACCTTCCCACCAACATGCTGGAGGATTAGCACTTCGTGCTATATTTCTTGCAAAAGCAGTTTCTCTGGCACTGCAGGCTATACAACTCCGACATGGAATTCCTCATAAAAGCACTTTGTACCGGCAGTTTTTGACCAGTGAAATTTCACGAATTAATTACTTAGGATATCGACTATATCGCGCTCTGCCATTCCTTTATGAATTGAGATGTGCACTTGACTGGTCATGCACAACCACATCTTTGACCATGTATGATTGGCTGAAAGTAAGTCTTTTAATCTCTCTACAGCATTCCATTATAATTCATCTTGCATTGAACTTCAACCTTTGAAACCTATGCAGTGAATTTTGATTGAACATTTTTCATGTTGTTCCTGAAACTGACTATAGCTTTCTACTTAGCTGGAGGACATACATGCGAGCTTGTACCTTGTCAAATGTGATGCAGTCTTGAATAGAGCAAAGCACAAGCAAGGAGAAAAGCAAACAAAAATGACCAAATGCTGCAATGGCATATGTCTTTTTTTCATATTGATTTGTGTTATTTGGGCTCCAATGCTGGTAAGCAACTTTCACACTCGCAGACAAGTTAACGTGCACTTCGATTTTAACTTTCTCTATATCATTTCCCCTTACAGATGTATAGCAGCGGTAACCCGACCAACATTGAAAACCCCATTAAAGATGCCAGTGTTCAGGTTGACATCAAGACAGCGAGTGGAAGGTTGAGTCTGTATCAAACCACCCTCTGTAAAAAGCTCCAATGGGATACGCTCAACTCTGATGTTAATCTTGATCCCAAAGGCTATTTGGATACATATAATCAGAAGGATGTCCAGTTGATATGCTGTGAAGCTGATGCAAGTACTCTGTGGCTTATCCCCAGTGTGGTTCAGACAAGATTCATTCAGTCCCTTGATTGGGAGACCCACATGGATATATCTTTCACTTGGGTGCTTACCAGGGGCAGGCCCAAAGGCAAGGAAGTTGTTAAATATGAAAGAAGTGTGGATCCTCAGGATCTTCCAAAACAATCAGATGTCCAGCAAGTTCTTAATGGCTCTATAAACAGCTTTAGGATATACAATGTTTATTCAAGATACTTCCGCGTCACTGGTTCCGGGGATGTAAGACCATTGGAACTAGAGGTACCCTCTCTCTCTCAGTTACATCTTTAACTAACGTAAGTTCTATATGTCAAATTTTGTTATCAATTTGAGCTCTTGGTTTCAGGTGAGAGATTGAGAGAAAGAGATATATTTGTATTGAAATCTTACACAAATTACACAGAGGCTCATGTCCCTGCAGTAATTTCCATAGCAGTTTTTTTGTTGAAATGATGGAATACTATTGATTTACAGGATAATTTTGTTAGTGCGGATCTTGTCATAAATCGTGCTAATTACGACTGGTGGTCCTTCCATGACATCAATTCATCCGACGTCAATGGATGTGGAGGTTTGAGAGGACCCATGGCCATCATCGTATCTGAGGAAACACCGCCACGTAAGTTTATGAAAAATGTCCTGTTTCATGTGCACAATAACAATATTTTTGGTTTAAATGACTTTTGTTCTTCATTTTTGGGTGATATTTCTGATCTGCAATGTTCCTTCAGAGGGTATTCTTGGTGACACCCTTAGCAAGTTCAGCATCTGGGGTCTCTACATAACATTTGTTCTTGCTGTTGGCCGCTTTATCAGACTTCAATGCTCTGACTTAAGAATGAGAATCCCCTATGAGAACCTTCCTTCCTGTGATAGGTAAGGCAACTTTGTTTTGGTCCTTCCTTCTTATCTTTCATTTCCCAAACCAAGTATCAATAAGAGTAATATTTTCCTGAAACTTATATGGCTCTTTTATTGTATAGGTTGATAGCCATTTGTGAGGATATATATGCTGCAAGAGCAGAGGGTGAGCTTGGAGTTGAAGAGGTCCTTTACTGGACGCTGGTGAAGATTTACAGGTCACCGCACATGCTGCTCGAATACACAAAACCCGACTAGACATACTACCTCCAGTTGACAAGGACTCAACTAGGTTTAACATTGACGTTAGGTTTGACTAACACCCATTATACACATCAGAAATACAGATACTGATACCCAGTTATATTTGAAGAAATACAAAACAAAATTCTTTCGGCCGCCATGTAAAACTCCAGCAGCCAGAGGACCTCTGGTTTCCATGTTTAAGGATATACACAGAGCTCAACATTTTTAGCATAGTTTTGCATAATCACAGAAGGCATAGTGGTTACGTGTACACATGTTGTATTTCAAGATGATTTTGATTTATCATGTACATAGTTCAATACAAGTTGGAGAAAAGCCATACAACAATATTATATTTTCCAGTAGATTTCTGTTTGTTTTCCTACAAAAACACAGGATGTATATGTATCAGTTGGACAAACCATGTCATGTCACCATTGTAATGACTTCACTTGAATATATTGTTGCCTTGCCACCCCTCCCGTGCTCAAAAGGTTTGTGAAATGAAATATGCTTAAAACCAATTACCAAAGAAAACAAAAAATACGATGGAAATTCAACCAATGCAACTACATGTATCATTTTTCCGAAATCGACCCAAGTTCAATCGATGTGAATAACATTGCAGCTCTCCTCAAATCGTCTTCATTAGTGAAGTGAACAAATAGAAATACAAAGAACACTAGTGCGGCTGGAGCATCAAAATTCCAACATGATATCAGAACGGACAAACAGACATCATTTCCACACAAGGTAAAACCTCCCAACAGAATTTTCACCGGTGAGCTTTCAACATACACTACTCATACACTGCCCGTCTCCTCCTCATCCTTCGGAGGTCTCTTTTTTTTGTGGCTGCTACCAGAACCCTTTTTACCAACAATCTCAGGGATAGTGTCTTCCATAACCTTTGGGCTTGCAAAGTCGAAATCTGAAGCGGATATGCCTTCGTATATGGGATTTTCTTTTAAAAATGCTGCTATCTCATTTCGGGTTCTCACTTTCTTCCCCTTGGGTGTAATATAATAAGCATCCAGTTTGGAATAATCTTTTCTAAGCACCAAATGTCGCTTAAAACCTTCTGGGGTCTTCTGAAGGTCAGGCTTATCAATGGCCCAGGTCCTAGTGCTATTGTACTCAATATCGGCAGGATCATCACAAGATACACCAGGTTTTTTGTTGCAATAAAACGGTTCCTCACTCATTCTGCTTCTGATTTCCTCAAACTCTTCTTCTGAATTAATCACCCTCCATTTATGGCATTCGTCACACTGCGCAGCATATAGATCAATTGAACTTGTCCCTGTCTGTGGCTTCTGTCAAGAGAATCCAAATGGATTTAGCACATTCAATGATTTAGCCATCAAAATCAGAACCAAATTCAAACCCAACAAGAATTTGCAACTACTCATGCAGATTAAAGTCAAAATCCTATAAGAAGCAAACACACCAGATTGCATACAATTATATGAAGAAGAACAATATAGAAAGAAAGCGCAACTTTGTTCATTCAATTCACCCCAACTCCACTTCAATGCTACGCTAAGCCTCCCCGTATGAGCATGTAATCCATCTCATTGTGGGATAATCATAGTCACTCCAGACTTAACTTCTTAAAATTCTCTCTAAGCTAATTATTTTCAACAAAATTTGAGTAGTAAAAACAACATCTTATATGCCATTAAAGTCATCAAGAACCACATTTAACACCAGCTAACACACGAAATTATGAGCATGCTTTGAAAAATTCAAAATTTATTTGAACTGAATCTAAGGTTGTATTGTCCCTCTTCGCTAATTATGATTAAGGTCAAAGAGCAATAAGTCCCCTGCTACTTATCCAAGACAAAACTGAAAAAGCATGAATGTACCAAAAGGGGCATCATATTGCTGATCACTTGCCATGAAACTCAAGACGAGCATTTAACGCCAGGCTAACATACAAGATAGTGAACATGCAAGCTTCAGCTATTTTTTTTCTGAAAAATAAAAATTTAAGAATTATTTCAAACTCAATCTAAACTTAGGCTTTACAATTTTATTTTCGCTAAATGCTATCAAGGTGAAGGCTTTCCAGATTTACTTATCAACGCAAAAATAATTTGAATTGGATTAAAGAGCAGCAAATCAAATCCTCTAGCACTTATCCTTGATTGAAACACTGGAAACCCAATTTCAAAGAGATATTGAGGAAAATATTGGATCAAACAGATTCTATTCGTACCTTGGACGACGTTCTAGGGGTTCTTTGGCTGTCCATTAAGCTTTTTCTGTTCCTGGAAAATTCTCTCTCTCTTTCCTTCCTGCCAAACAGCCGGAGGAGGAGGAGGAGGAGGATAATCAGCATATATGCTCAATGCGTATCTCCATTTATATTTGTACCAAACGACGTCGTTACCTTCAAATGTCTGGATCTTATATTAAAAGAATAATTAAATTAAGTATGAAATCGCATCTTTGTTTTTTGATAAACAAAATATCACCACAACGATTTTAAAATACATGAAAATGGTTTTAAATTTTTATTTTTATTTTTAAGTTTTATTATCCAACAAAAAAAATTAAAAGTTTTATTTACTATTATTCATATCCTTATTTCACAATCACTTTCTATCTTTCTTTTCTCAATAGTCTCTAGAACTAAAGTTTTATTTAATATACCAATAATGTTGTATGTTTTACAATTCTGATTATAAATAAATAAAATAAGTCTACAAACACTCCAAAAACCAACAAAATAATCAGTTTTCTATTTTATCTAGGAATAGGAGTTGGATTCCCTTAATTCTCTAGTTGGGGAAGACTAGTAACCTTCTCTCTAACCTTCTCCTTTGAACCTTCTTCTTTTTTTGCTTAACATGTATCATTCTCTTTATACTTAAAACAATGTCATTAATATATTATACAAGTTAACTTTTGTTTTCCAAGTTTACCCTTATTAAATGTATTCAATTTATCCACACAAAATTTCACAACTTTCTTACCATCTTATTAATTTTATTTTAAACGTCAATTATTTTTTTAAAGAAAATGTCTGCTTTTTTCAAAAAAGAGTAAATGTCCGTTTTTTTTAACACAAAGGACTTTTTTGTTTCTATCTAAACCCTTTGTGTGTTTTTTTTTTTTTTTAAAAAAAAAAAAACCAGACATTTCCTCTTAAAAGCACATATTTTCTTTTTAAAAAAATATATTTGATGTTAGAAAAAAATTAATAAGATGGTAAGAAAGCTGTGAATTTTTTTTTGGATAAATTGAATACATTTAATAAAGGTAAACTTGGAAAGCAAAAGTTATCTTGTATAATATATTAATGACATTGTTTTAAGTGTAAGAGAAAGACACATGTCAAGCAAAAAATGGAGAAGGTTAGAGAGAAGGTTATCAGCATTCCTCTTATTGAGTTACTGCCTTTTGTTATTTTTCATGGGTAATTAATGCAATTTAATTCTAGCATCTCTACTTATATGCAATGAAAATTAGCAAAAGGAACTCACCTTTTTACTTTCTAAGAGCATCTCCAAGGGAGATGTCAAATACCAAACATCAAATTTAAATCTGATGGATGATGTGGCAATTTGACATTTATACAGTTTTACACTCCACTCGATATGTCAAATAAATAATTATTGTAACAGTCAAACCATTTAAGATAAAGAAGAAAAATAATATAAAAAGGAAAATAATAAATGAAAGTAACAACCAACTATCTTTAAAAATAATAAAATATTCATTTGACATCTTGCTTTTGGGTGTCAAAAATAACATCTCAACCTCCAGCCTTTATTCCACATTAGCTTTGACACATCGGTTGGAGTGATGTGAGATGTTATTTCTAGCCGTTAAATGTCTATGTGGCACTTTTGACACATCGGTTGGAGATCCTCTAAGAGCATCTCTAAGGGAGATGTCAAATACCAAACATTAAATTTAAATTTGATGGCTGATGTGGCAATTTCATATCTTACACAGCTTTACACTCCACCAAATATGTCAAATTAAATTATTATTTTATTACATTTTAGTGTTGATTTATTTTTAATTAAAAAGAAAAGAAAAGAAAAAATAATAAAATATTCATTTGACATCTTGCTTTTGGGTGTCAAAAATAACATCTCAACCTCCAGCCTTTATTCCACATTAGCTTTGACACATCGGTTGGAGTGATGTGAGATGTTATTTCTAGCTGTTAAATGTCTATGTGGCACGTTTGACATATCGGTTGGAGATGCTCTAAATTTTTCTTTGTGTGGATTCCTATAGGGGATAAGATCAGACTCTATGTGCTTAAATTTGGGGTGTGAGTGACATGTTATAAATCCATTTTATTTATGAACCTACAAAAACTCCTATACCTACCTTTTATTACTCAACAATGCACTAGAACTACTCACCGTATGATTAGCCTTAAATTGGGTCAGTTGCATATACCTAATGATGAAATTAAATGTTTTGGAGTCCTCTGCTATTACTACAATTAGTGTGCAAATCCAAGCCATCCATTAAAGTGAAGTCAAGTCGGGATATTGATTGAATGGTTGAGATTAGTGCATCTCAAGAATTGAAGTTGAATTAAATTAAACAGGTAGGAGGGAAATTGGGCCAAGACGGCAAGTGCAAAGCAGGACCAGTTTTTATTTGGCTATGTGGTTTCTTTATGTGTAAAACCATCCCGCCCAAACCCAAGAGTGAGTCAGTGAGGCGCAAACAAAGCAGCAGGCAGGCACTGAAGAGGCTTCACGCATTGCTCTCTCATAGCAGAATGGGAGCCATTGCCCCCACAGCAGCAAGTTATTTCATACAGTTTTCTACGAAAATATTGTGCACAAATGGAACGCTTAGCATGTTCTCATATATCTCGCTTCTCCCTCACACATTTCTCTTTGCTAAGGACAAACCACAACAAAACAACTGATTAAGCACTTCAAAGCACATCTGCTTTGCTAATACAGATAAACTTGATCTGCTTCAGTGCCTAGCCTAATACAGGCAGCCCAAATAGTTTGAATAAGACCCCCAGCACACATATGACAGTGCCACAATTCACAAATACCACAGGGTCAGAAAAATTACAAAAGCAAATTCATGCATTTGTGTGGGGAAAGCTTTTTAAAACACTAAATTAAGATACCAATATATCACAGTGACTCGAAGCAATCTATCAACCAGAACCTGAAGGAACTAGGATGCTAATTAACTAACTTGTAGACCTTGCAGCCGAGGGCTTCGTCGCAGTGGAAGCTGCCATTGTGAGTGCCAACTCGCTTAGCTGGAGTAGCGGTAGCCATGAGAGAGAGCGAGAAAGGTGAAGGCGCAGCGGTGGTGGCTCGGAAGACGAATGGCAGCGTGTGCTTAAACCCTCACTTTCCACTTTTAACACGTTGGTCCCTGTCATTTCAAGTTGGTCAATTTAGTTGTGGAGGGGCAGTTCAGTCCACAAACAGCAAAGTCTGCGTGCTTAGGTCTGCGTTTAACGGCAG